CCTCAGCCTCCCAAAGGCGTGGGATTACAGGCTGAGCCACGGAGCCCGGCTACTTTTTAAAAAATTTATTATAGAGACAAGGTCTTACCATGTTGCTCCGGCTGGTCTCGAACCCACGGACTCAGGCAATCCTCTCTCCTCGGCCTCCCAAAGTGCTGGGATTACAGGCTTGAGCCACTGCGTCTGACCCTCTTTTTTATTTTTCAGTCAAGGTCTTACTCTGTCACCCAGGCTGGAGTGCAGTGGCACATTCAAGGCCACTGCAGCCTCAACCTGTTGGGCTCAGGCGAACCTTCCGCCTCAGCCTTCCAAGTAACTGGAACTACAGGCATGTATCACCACACTGGCTAACCTTTTGATTAATTATAGAGATGAAGCCTCTCCAAGGTGTCTAGGTCTCAAACCCCTGGTTTCAGGCAGTCTTTCCACCTCTGCCTTCCATAGTGCTGGGATGACGGATGTGAGCCACTGTGCCCACCTCTTGCTGGAAATCTTTCTAAAATTCATTTATTCCTTTACTCAAAGCAAGGTGTGTCTAGTGCCTGCTGTGTGCCAGACTGTGTACTAGATGCTGGGGACACACGAGTATGCCAGGCAGACATTGTTCCTGCCCACCTGAAGGCTGACAGCCTAGCAGGGAAGGTACTGATACTCAAGTGAGCAGATAGGCAAAGGGAGTCTTGGATCAGGAGGTCATGGTGAGGTCTGGAACAACAATCTGGGTGGAGGGACCAGCGAGAACAGAAGCTGAGAGAGTTCAGGGAAAAGCCAGGAGGACAGTGTGGCCTGAACAGGGTGAGTGGATGGGGTTAGGAGGTGAACTCAGAGGAGTGGGCTGGAGTTGGATTTTTCTTTGGAGAGCAGGAGGGGTTGGCAAGCCTCTTCATCAGAGCAGGGCACCTGTGAACGGTGTCTTTGAGTTGGAGTCTGTGTTCTGTAGGGTGACAGTGTGGGTCTGCATGCTCAGTCAGGGTACAGGCAGATGGGGGATCGCAGTGCCTGTCTGCACACACCAGATATTCCCAAGCCCTTGAGGATCGCAGTGCCTGTCCGCACACACCAGATATTCCCAAGCCCTTGGAGCCGGTGATGCTGCTTTCTCAGCCCTGACTGCTGCGGGGACCTCTCAGTCCTTACGCATCATACAGCCCTTGGAGGTGGCTTCGAGGGTGTGAAGAAGGTGTGTGAGCTTTGCTGGCCCTGTTTGCAGAAGCTGTTTCCCAAAAACCGTTGCAGGTTTAGGACTTGAATCTGCATGGGCGCTGCTGTGGAGACCAGGCCCCTTTCTATTTGTGAAGAAGGAAGCAGCCAGGAGTCTGAAGGTCACGGGTTTCAGAACCTTCTTAGCACCTGTTGCTCCTCTAAGGGAGTGCGCTGTGCTGTGGGGTTGCTGTTGGTTTGGGGCGCCCCCTAGGGAGTTATTGTGGGCATTGCACAGTGGTGGAAGCGCAATTCCCGGGAAACTGGTGTGTTTGAACAGGCTTTGGGTAGGAAGTCTCCATGTTGCCCTCTTCCAAGTTCTTCATTCTGGGAGACGAACTCGGGTCACCGCAGCCTCCACCCCCCGGGCTCAGGTGATCCTTCCACTTCAGCCTCCTGAGTAGCTGGGACTACAGACACGCGTTGTCACGCCTGGCTAATTTTTTGATTTTTTTTTTTTTTTTTTTGTAGAAAGGGTCTGTCTATGTTGTCCAGGCTGGTCTTGAACTCCCGGGTTCAAGCGGGAGCCTCCTAAAGTGCTGAGATTATAGTTGTGAGCCACCGTACTCTTAAAGTGGAATGGGGTAGGTTTATTGGCAGCCTGCTCTGGGTGGGCCACGTGAAGACTACAGGTGGTCTCCAAGGCGTGTGCCCTGTCCCTTTCTCAGGGAGCTCCTTGGGGTTGTAGAGCCAGATCATAAGCCTGGATGTGTGTTGGCGAAATAGGTCACGGACAACAGACTGAGAGGACACAGAACCACCACATGTTAACTGTCAAGTTATTAATAATAACCCTAGAGCCAGCTCAGGAGGCCTCGTGCACAGACCAGGATGTGCTCAGAAGAGTCCCCACGTGTGCTTGGTGTCCTTTAGAAGACCTCGTTTTCTCATTTTATTCCGTGGAACACACACATACGCGATTATATAAAAATATAGGTAATCTTTTATTACATGCCTGCAAGAGCTGAAATCAAAAGCTGCCATGGAGTACTGAGTCTGCACCAGGCATTGTTTTAAGTGTCTTTTTGGTAGATGCTGCTTTTTCCATCCTGCCAGTAAGAAAACAGAGGCTCAGACAGGGTCGCACCTTGCCCGAGGTCACACAGCTGGGCAGTAGCCAAACTGGGGTTAGAACTGAGACAGTGTGACTCTAGACAGCGTCTGCCCGGAGGCTGTATTTTGGAAAGCAAATCTAATTTCCCTTGAGATATTTCCTGGGTTTGCTTTAAGGAAAAGAAACACTTTTGCTTTCCCACTAAGTGGTTTCATGAAAGGCACTTGAGCACCTTGGAGGCAGCAGTTAAGACCTGGATACCAGACAAGAGGGTAGGGTCGGTGGGGTGGGGTGGGGCCGGGTGGGGCCAGGCAGGACCAGCTGGCAGGATAGGATCCTGGGGCTGCTGCTTTAGGTGTGTCTTTTCTGCTCACTCCCTTTTTTATTTTATCTTTTCTGGAAATAAGGGGTCTTGCTATGTTGCCCAGCCTACTATGTTACACAGCCCAGCCTGGTCTTGAATTCCTAGCCGCAAATGATCCTTCTGCTTTGGCCTCCCAAAGTGCTGGGATCACAGACGTGAGCCATGGCGTCCAACCTACTCAGCTTCTCTTGACTGTCCTCCAGATTGGGACTCAGGCTCTGCTTTTCATTTTTTTTAAATTTGAGTTTAAGTCTCACCCTGTCGCCCAGGCTGGAGTGCAGTGGTTTGATCACGGCTCATTGCAGCCCCGACCTCCTAGGCTCAGGCGATCCTTCTGCTTCAGGCTCCAGAATACCTGTAACTGCAGGGGCACACAACTACATGGGGTGAATTTTTAAAGCTGTTTTGTAGAGGTCTCGCCATGTTGTCTCTAGGCTGGTCTTGAAATCCTGGGCTCAAGCAATCCTCCCGCCTCAGCCTCCCAAAGTGCTGGGATTACAGGTATTAGCCACCATGCCCAGTCTCTGTCTCTGTTTTACCAAAGACAGAACCGAACCTGGCTGAGGGAAGGGGAGTCACTTGCCCTGGGGCAACCCTGGGAACCTCAACTGCTTCTCAGATCTGTTCTGTTTAGTCTGGATCTTCTGTCCGGTTAGAACAGTCTCGCCTTGAAGGAAAATTCTTCCCTGGGAGGCATTTGACTTCAGCCAGAGGGAATCTTGGCTGGAGACAGGGTTCTTCAAGTGTCAGCAGAAAGATAGCTGGATCGGAAGCTGCCCATTCCCAGCTGGCTGAGGGAGCAGATAGGCATTTGGGGGGTGTTTGGTTTTAACTTGCATTGCAATCTAGCACCCCCGAGAATTGGAAAACCATCTGCCTGTGTTCTGAATTTTGCCTTGTGGGCATTCTTTATTTCTCTGGGTTGTTTTCTCTTAAAGATAAAAATGACTGGGAGCGGTGGCTCATGCCTGTCATCCCAGCACTTTGGGAAGCGGAGGCGGGAGGATTTCCTGAGTCCAGGGATTTGAGACCAGACTGGGCAACATGACCAGACCTCATCTCTATAATAAATCAAAAAATTATCTGGGCATGGTGGCACACGCCTGTGGTTCCAGCTACTTGGAAGGCTGTGGTGGAAGAATCACCTGAGCCCAGCAGGTTGAGGCTGCGGTGGCCGTGAGCGTGCCACTGCATTCTAGCCAGGGTGACAGAGTGAGAATCTGACTAAAAAAAAAATAGTTACAAATTAGATGATAACCTAAGGAATCAGTTTTTTCTGCTGTCCTTAAAACATTGAAAGATGTGGCAGTGTTGGATCTATCCAAGGGTCACCTTGGATAGTGGCTGAGGAGAAGCTTTCTCCCTCACTTTGAACTAGACACTTGTTTTTGACTTCTGAAGCCCATGATGCTTTCTCCTGCTTTCTCCCACTTGAGTTGGTGATCTGTGAAGCCCAAAAAGCCTCCTTGGAGATGCTCACTCCCCGCAGTTTCCTAGCTGCACAGTTGGTCGTGACTGGGAGATCCCACGTGGGCGCAACGTGACATACTAGTGTCCCATGTCTGCTGTGCTGTCATCCCAGTGACGGCTATGGTCTTCTTGACTCCTCCGGAGGGTCGCTCGCTCCAGAAAAGCCGCTGCTGGCATTTTTGCTCTTGTGGGTGTCTGTGGAGCATGTCAGGATGTGGGGTAGGGAGATGAAACTGGTTTTTTCTTTTTGTGAGTCAGGTCTCACTCTGTTGCCCAGGCTGGAGTACAGTGGCATGGCCGTGGCTTAATATAGCCTCAGCCTCCTGGGCCTCCCTACTCAGCCTCCTGAGTAGCTGGGACTACAGGTTTGCACCACCACACCTGGATAGTTTATTATTATTATTATTTTTTGAGTTGGAGTCTCACTTGGTAGCCCAGACTGGAGTGCAGTGGCCGCTCCTGGCCACCACAGCCTCGCCTGCTGGGCTCTGGCGATCCTTCCGCCTCAGCCTTCCGAGTAGCCAGAATTACAGGCACGCGCTACCACGCCCGGCTGGTTTTTTTGATTTATTACAGAGATGAGATCTCGCTGCCCAGGCGGGTCTTGAACCCGGGGGCTCAGGCAATCCACTCACCTCAGCCTCCCAAAGGCGCGGGATTACAGGCTGAGCTACTGAGCCTGGCTTTATTATTATTATTATTTTTGAGTTGGAGTCTCACTCTGTTGCCCAGGCTGGAGTGCAGTGATATACTCATGGACACTGCAGTCTTGACCTGCTGGGGCTCATGTGATCCTTCCACCTCAGCCTTCAGGCGTGGGCCATCACACCCAGCTAATTTTTTGATTTACTGTAGAGACAAGGTCTCGCCATGTTGCCCAGGCTGGTCTTGAACAATCTTCTTGCCTCCACCTTCCAAAGTGCTGGGATTACAGGTATGAGCCACTGCACCTGGCCCTAGCTTTTTTTATTTTTTGTAGAGATGAGGTCTCGAAGTTCAGGGCACAAGCAGTCCTTGCACCTTGGCCTCCCAAAGTGCTGAGATTACAGGCATGAGTCACCCTGCCTGGAACCAGTTTTGAATGGGAGGTATAAGGAGCATACCTGGGTTGGGCACAGTGGCTCACGCCTGTCCAGCATTTTGGGAGACTGAGATGGAGAGATTATTTGAGGCTAGGATTTTGAGACCAGCTGGACAACATAGTGAGACGCTGCGTCTATAAATACATAAATAAAACAAGCATCTTTAAAAAAAAAGTGGACATCTGAAGGGTAATGGGCTGTTTTTCTGGTGATTTCCTCTGTGAATTGTCCTATATTGAAAATATCTCCTTTTAGGGGTGTGTTTTCCAAAGTTTCCTTCTAGTCCCGTTTAGAATCACAGTGAGGAAAGGAAGCCCTTTATGTCTGCCTGCACTTGTGTGAGATCTGGGGTCATTCTTTATCCTCAGGATGCGGTGACTGATGTTTTACTCTTTACCAAGTAACAACCGGGGGAATTTGTTTTTTTTTGAGTTGGAGTCTCACTCTGTCGCCCAGACTGGAGTGCAGTGACCGCTCCCGTCTGGGTCCTGTTCGAGACCCGCCTGGGCAACTTGGCGAGACCTGATCTCTACAATAAATCAAAAAACCTAGCTGGGCATGGTGGTGTGTGCCTGTGGTTCCTGCTTCTTGGGAGGCTGCAGTGGAAGAATCGTCTGGGCCCAGCAGGTCGGGGCTGTGGTGGCCATGAGTGTGCCACTGCCCTCCAGCCTGGGCAACAGAGTGAGACTCCAACTCAGAAAGCAAACAAACAAAAAAAGAAAACGGTCTTGGGAATGACTCGAGTGGCCTTAAACCCTCTCTCTCTTTCGCCCTCCTAGGGCCTGGGTTCCAATAAATAACTGCTACCTCATGTCTAAAGAAATCCCCTTTTCCGTGAAGAAGACCAAGAGCATCTTCAACAGCGCCATGCAGGAGATGGAGGTTTATGTGGAGAACATCCGCCGGAAGTTTGGCGTTTTCAACTACTCCCCGTTCCGGACGCCCTACACACCCAACAGCCAGTACCAGATGCTGCTGGACCCCGGCAACCCTGGCGCCGGCACAGCCAAGACAGACAAGCAGGAGAAGGTCAAGCTCAACTTCGACATGACGGCGTCCCCCAAGATCCTGATGAGCAAGCCCATGCTGAGCGGGGGTGCAGGCCGCAGGATCTCCCTGTCCGACATGCCTCGCTCCCCCATGAGCACAAACTCTTCCGTGCACACGGGCTCCGACGTGGAGCAGGATGCCGAGAAGAAGACCATGTCGAGCCACTTCAGCGCCAGCGAGGAGTCCATGGACTTCCTGGATAAGAGCACAGGTCAGCCCCGTGCGGGGGACTTGGACATGGGTGGCTTGGGACGGGTGCTCTCCACCCATGCCGTACCCGGTGGGCCCAAGCTGGTGTGTGTCAGAGTTGTCCAAGGGGTCACACTTCAGTGGGGCAGATCTTCTTTCTTAGAGTAGGGGTCTCACACGGTTGTACAGGCTGGAGTGTGGAGGCGCCATTGTGGCTCACCTCACCTTTGACCTCCTGGGCTCAGGCGATCCTTCCATCTCAGCTTCCCGAGTAGCTGGGGCCACTCAGCTCCTAAGATCAAGCGATCCTCCCGCCTTGGCCTCCCAAGGTGCTAGGATTACAGCTGTGAGCCACTGCGCCTGCAGCAAACCTTAAATAAGTAACCAGATGGGATTCTTGCTGTTAGGGACCCGAAAATTAAAAAAGGGTTCCCGAAGGGCCAGCTGGAGGTTGGTCATTCCTAGAAGTGGGTGGAGGTGACCAGAAATCCTTTAGAGTTCAATTCAGATGTCACTGCCTTTGGATTAGCTGCGACTCACTGTCCTGTGTATCCTCTCCCAAGAAGTTTGTTTCAGCTGAGAATTTATTGTTCTGTCAAGTCCATGCATTCCCACCAAAACGCTCAAGTGTTAGAGAAACATGCAAGGTGAAACAATCAACCTCCCTCTCCCCAGAGTCATTCCTTAAAGGTCAACACGTCAAGCAGTTGTGTTGTGTTTCTGAGACGTGCTCACGTAGAGTGAGTGAGAAGGCGGGTGCTGGCCTCCAAGCCCAGCTCTGCTACTCACCCATCGGGCGGCTTTGGGTGAGCCACTGAACCCCGTCATGGCTTCCTTTCCCCATGTGTAATGCGACGATGGTCATGGGGCCCGCCTCGTAGGTTCTTGTACGGATCAAGTGTGTCAGGGTCTGAAACAGCCAGCACTGCAGCAATGTTAGCTAGTGTGTTACTTCCTGTAATTGCCACGTGGATCAGAGAAGGGACATGAATGAAGAATGCTGACCGAGTGTAAAAGGAAGGTGACTAACTTGAATTCCTTCTCCTTAGACACAGTTTGGTCACATGCTAAATCTCTAATTTTCTTTCTTCTCAAGGAAGTGGTTCTGTCATTTTTCTTGAAACGTGGCCTTCACAGTTCGTTCTCTGTTGTTTCACCTTGGAAAGACATGGGCCCAGAGGAGCTTCCACATTAAGCTGGAGGGTAAAAGGTGGCCAGTCCTTGGGCCCTGGGCTGGGCTGGGGGTGGGTGAACTGCAGGGCCCATGTCCCACCGCCTCAAGGACTTCATGATAGGAACATGGGCTCACTTGGTGGGAATGTGGACTCAGGGTTTTCAGGTTTTAGCCTTCGTTCCGGAGGAATGGGAAGTCTGGGTTTTTTGTTTTGCTTTGGAGTCTCACTCTGTTGCCCAGGCACAGGTGCAGTGGCATGCTCATGGCCACCGCAGCCTCGACCTGCTGCGCTCAGACAATCCTTCCGTCTCAGCCTTCAAAGTAGCTAGAACTACAGGCATGTCCCGCCATGCCTGGCTAATTTTTTTTTTTTTTTGAGTTGACGTCTCACTCTGTCGTCCAGGCTGGAGTTCAGTGGCACGCTCATGGCCATGCCAGTGTCGACCTGCTGGGCTCCGGCGATCCTTCCACCTCAACCTTCCAAGTAGCCGGAACTACTGGCGTGAGCTACCATACCCAGCTAATTTTTGACTTATTGTAGAGACGAGGTCTCTCCAAGTTGCCCGGACTGTTCTCGAACCTGTGGGCTCAGGCAACCACTTGCCTCAACCTTCCAGAGTGCTGGGATTACAGGCTGAGCCACTGAGCCCGGCCCTAATTTTTTATTGTAGAGACGAGATCTCGCCATGTTGCCCAGGCTGGTCTTAAACCCCTGAGCTCAGGCAATCCTCTCACCTCCTCCTCCCAAAGTGCTGGGATTACAGGCATGAGCCACCGCTCCTGGCCCAGTATTTTAGGCTTTATGGGTTTTCGTAGCCACTACCCAACTATTCAACTGTGTCATTGTTCCAGTAAAGCAGCCATAGGCAATATGTGACTTGATTGAGTTCCCATGCAGCCTTGTTGACGGACACTGAAACTTGAATGTCATATAAGTTACATGTTTTGTGAACTATTAATTCGTCTTGATTGTTTTTTTACCCCAATCATTTAACAATGTTAAATACCTTTCTTAGCTTGTTAGGCCTTGTAGACATAGGTTGTACCCCAGATTTGGCCCATGGGCCACAGGTTGCCAACCACTATTACAGACTCAAAGAGTTACGAGAAACTGAGTCAGTCTCCCTATTTTACAGAAGGTACATTCAGGACTCTGCCCGGTGTAAAGACGCCAAAGTCCTGTTGTATCAAGGCCTGAATTCTTTTTGCTGCACCCTAATGCCCTCTGCTGTTAGCAGCGTTAATAACATTTAGTAGCAGGAGACATGAACTACATGTTGAAATGCCTCCCGTCGTCGGGGATGTTATAATTGAGATAAGACTGTGATTTATCCCAACTTGTGCAAAAAAAAAAAAAAAAAAAATTTTTCATGTCCTGGGAGAGGAAGCCGGTTCAGTGGTGAACATTTGTAACCAGCACGGAACTACACATGGCAGTGTTCTTCTATAAACCTTTTACGAGTGTTGAGACACCTTCCTTTTTTTGGGAGGGGCCTGAGCCCGTGTTTGTAGTTCTCAGACCTGGATCAGCTTCCTAGGAAGCACTTGTTCAACCAGAGGCCTTCTGTTCACGGTGTCCTGGAATTCTGCTGGCCGGATGACTCAAGTGGCATGTATCCCGTGTTTTTTCTGATTCCCCCGTCTATAGAGCTCCCGGCCAGAATCGATGCCTTCACTGGTGTTTGCTTGCAGGATCCCGAAGTAAGTCATGAATATGTCCTAGGGTTAGAGTCCTGGGGCCTGGCTGTCAGTACCCTCTGAGCTCGGGGAACGTGGCTTCACATATGCCTTTTTAATTGTGAAATCAATATGTCTTTTTCATAAAATAGTTCTCAATTACAAAAACCAAAGTTGCTGATAATCCTGCCTCCCACAGTGAGCCTTTAGATATTGGTTGCAGGGCTTTTAAAAATATTGGTTTTTATTTTGATTTTAGAGACAGGGCCTCATTCTGACATGCAGGTACTTGGGTGGAGTGCATGGCAGCCTCAAACTCTTGGTCTGAGGTGGTCCTCCTGCCTCAGCCTCCAGAGCAGCTGAGACTACAGGCATACACCACGACATCCAGCTAATGCTAAAATTTTTTTGTGGAGATGGAGGTGGGTGTCCTCACTCTTGCCTAGGGTGGTCTCGAATTTGTGACTTCAAATGATCCTCCTTCCTCGGCCTCCCAAAGTTCTAGAGTTACAGTCGTGAACCACTGCACTTGACCTCCTATGTTGGTTTATAAGTCATACGGCTAACTCAAATACTTACAGGGATCAGGCAGAGAGGGACATGAGTGAGGGTGGGGAGCAGTGGGGGCTGGGTGGAGGAGAACAGAGCTTGGCCCCTCACTGTGACCCATGACTGACGTATGTGTGCCTAGGTGTATGATGCCCATGTAGTGCTTTTTATTTTATTTAATGTAATTTTAGAGACAGGGCCTCATTCTGTCACTCAGGCTGGACCCTATCAAAGCTCACTGTAGCCTTGAACTCCAACAATCGTCCTTAGCCTTCCATGGTGCTGGGATTACAGGCATGTGCCTCGGCTTCCTCTTCTGATACATGATGCATGCTGGTGTTTCCGTGCTTTTGCATTTCCTTAAGAAAGCTGTTTATCAGCCGGGCTCGGTGGCTCAGCCTGTAATCCCGCGCCTTTGGGAGGCTGAGGTGAGTGGATTGCCTGAGCCGCGGGATTAAGACCCTCTTGGGCAGCGAGACCTCATCTCTACAATAAATCAAAAAAAAAAAAAAAAGCCAGACTTGGTTGCTCAGCCTGTAATCCCGTGCCTTTGGGAGGCTGAGGCGAGTGGATTGCCTGAGCCCGCGGGTTTGAGACCCGCCTGGGCAGCGAGACCTCATCTCTACAATAAATCAAAAAATCAGCCAGACGTGGTAGCGCACGCCTGTAGTTCTGGCTACTCGGAAGGCTGAGGTGGAAGGATCGCCGGAGCCCAGCAGGTCGAGGCTGCGGTGGCCGGGAGCGGCCACTGCACTCCAGTCTGGGTGACAGAGTAGACTCCAACTCAAAAAAAAAAAAAAGAAAAAAAGAAAGCTGTTTATCACCCATGAGCGAGTCATGAGTTCTCGGACCTTGAGAGCTAGAAAGATGTGCCTCTGAAAACGTCAAGGACCCTTCCTCCCACTAGTTCTTGCCAAGTGGGAGGGTGGGCTCAGTGTTGCCAGATTTCTGATTTTTCTTTTTTGTGAGTTGCAGTCTCACTGTCGCCCAGGCTGGAGTGCAGTGGTACACTCATGGCCACCGCAGCCTCAACCGGCTGGGCTCAGAGAGCAAGCAATCGTTCCGCCTCAGCCTTGCAAATAGCTGGAACAGCAGGCATGCGCTATCACACCTGGCTTATGTTTTGATTTATTGTAGAGACGAGGTTTCACCAAGTTGCCCAGGCTGGTCTCGAACTCTGCACTGGGAGGCGGAGGTGAGAGGATTGTCTGTCACCAGTGCTGAAATTCAAAAGCATTGGTACGTGGTTCACAGTGGGGCCTGGGGATGGGGGACTTGACCCCCACCCCTGGAGAGCACTTGGCAACATCTGGAGACATTTTTGCCTGTCCTAATTGTGGGAGACGGCCCTCCTGGCATCTCATGGGTAGATGCCAGAGAAGCTGCCACACACCCCATGGTGCACAGGACAGTCCTAAAGTGGGGACCCATCTGACCCCAAGTGTCACTAGAGCTGAGGTTGAGAAACTCTGCTTTAAATCACCCTAGACATTTTGGGAGCAAATGACATTTGGAAATGCCCGTTTCAGTGAATCTTTGAAACATCCAATCCTTTTATAAAGCCATACATCTTGCCCAAAGGAAGAACTGATTTCCTTTGAAGTCACAAATGATTTAACCAG